TGAAATTAAGTGTGCACAAAGGAGTGTAAAGCTTTCTATTCTATTCTACAGTTCCATTTCCAATTTTCAGCCTCCTCCATTTTTTTTTTAACTTATCATGTAAATCATTTCACTTTTTCAAACTGACGTACAATAGAAATGCTGTAGGGACAAAATCACAGGACTGTGACACTGTAATAAATTCAGACACAGAAAGAGAACAAAAGAGGGTAGAGATATTGAGAGCTCATCTGTGACATCGGATTTGGAAGTGCAGCCTCTTCATGCATTACCAAATCACAGAGGCTCATTAAAAGCCCAATAAACGTCTATTGCTTAAAGCTGTTGAGAGCATCACTTTCCAAATTGCTCTCTGGCAGAGTGGCATTTCACACTTCGTCTTCCGCACACTTTTGATCGCAATCAACACAGAGCGTTCACGGAGGGGCTTCAATCACTAGCAAAGAGGGGACTGGGTCTAAATTGCAAACCAGTCATCTTGGATTGTCCTGATGCCTAAGCATGTTCGACATACATGAACACGCCACGCACGACACACACACACAACACACAACACAACACTACACACACACTACACACATACACACAGATGCCTTACTGGCAAGACGAGCAGTCGTTGACACAGAGCACACATTCACAGACAGATGCAGACACACCAGCCATTAGTAATCACAGTTCTCTTCTCTGCTGTGTTTACTTTATGGTTCATGTTACTCCTCCAGCAGGAGGTAGTTTAACAGTTCAGAGTTTATTTGTCATGGATTCTTTTTGAACTGCGGGAAAGAACAGGGAGGCACATTCAAGTCAAGTCAACTTTATTGGTATACATATACCATGCACGACTATACAGCCATAAATGAAACTTAGATCCTCTCGGACCCACGGTGCAAACAGATAAAAAAAAAATTATAAAAAAATAAATTCATTCAGAGGTGCTTATGCACAATATTAACAGGAAATGGCTTTTTTCTTACGATTAAAGATCTAAAATTATAAGAACTTATAACACCACACAACTCATGAATAAGGAAAGGTTGAAGTATACTTTTAGCATACTTGTTGCAATGTTATTATGGTTAACTAAACTGTGCGTGAAAAAAACATTTTATTTAACTGAAAGACTGAAAAAAACAAGTCTCAACTATCTTTATGAGACTGGGATGTCTACATGGCTCAATGTGTTCGTATTATAATACCCTATCCTGACAAATACCCCCATACTATAATAAAAAATAACTAAAACTAACACTGAAACTAATAAAATCTCAAATAAAACTAAACATCTTTAAACAATAAACACTAAACTAAAATGAGAAAACACTCTCTGGAAACTAAGTGAAACTAAACTGAATGGAAAACTAAAAGTTAAAAGAAAAACTAATAGAAAATACAAAATTATAATAACTCTTACTTGTATTTGTACAATGTATTGCTGTTCGAGATCACTAGAAAAAAGGAGATAGGCTATTAGCAGTAGTCATCTCTCCTTATCAGAACCATCAGATCCAAACCAGCAATTCCTCAAACATTAAACTCGTCTTTAGTCCCACATTCCAGTGGATGACTAATTTATTGCCTCCAGAGCCTGATCTAATGTTTAATATTCATTACAGTCATATATATTGATTCATTTTCTTGACACACACACACACACACAGGAAACTTAATTACTTTGCTGAACTTTGACTCGGAGGGGAAGATCCTTGTCTGATTGAAACATTGTTCAATAAAAAAGTTCCAGTTGTTGAAACTTTACACAATCTGTTGCACCTTTTCTTTAATCTTTTGATGAGGTCAGAATTTATGATGTATTATAATTCCCAGTTCACTATGTGATATATTACACTTTTTATACACTGACTGAAACAGATTAATGATATTTTGGGACCTCAAATAATACCCACTACAGTAACATTATGTGACATATGAGTGACATTATAAAAGCACATAAAATGTAATCTGATAAATAGGTACTGTAACTTTTTATCTTAACAGCATTTATAAGCAGTATATAAACCCCTAATTAATGTTTTATAATCCACTATAATGTAGTTATAGTAGTAGCAGATAAAGGAGGTGTTCACAGTTCATTGACAATATTTACTGTTTATAGGACATATGATTCAACATATCTTATGATATGATTTCAATCTGTTGTGATATAAAACGTTAATTATCTGTTTAAACACCAGTTAAAGATGTGCCATGAGAGGAGTTATAGTTGTTGACAGTTACACTCCTAAATGCTCTTACAGTAGAAATACAGTGCAGTGTTTCATCAACATTAAGTGTTTTTTTATTCTGCTCGTTAATGCTAAATAATGGGACTAAATTAAAGTGCTAACAATTATAATATATTATAATAAATAATAATCTCTATTTTCCCTGAGAAAATTGATTTTGTCACCTCTTTGGCTGGACTTATCACTTAAATGCCTCAGAGAAACACAGATGAAAAGCGATGCTTCATTTAATTGAAACGTCTTGCAGCAGGATTACTTACATAACTCCTCTTGATAGGAGAGTTCTGACCTCTTCAGACTTATTTCCCTTCACCATGAACCTTGGTAGTAATTAGTTGTGCCAGAAATCCCTAATCTGCAATTCAGCTGCCATTAGAAGGAGCTTTAAGTTCCTAATTATTCAGAAACACAAGGTTGTCGAGCTATTTAACTGACAATCTGTTTAACATAAAGATAATTACTCTATCTGGATCTGCCAAAGTGGATAAATGTGACTTAAATGTAAAGCATTATAATATATAAAACATTGTTGTGACTCCCATCATTGCAGAGCAGTTAAAAATAGCATATAAATAGTTTTTTAAGAGTTCAAATATAACATGTTGAAGCGCTGTCTCGATCATAATGTACCTGTCTGTCTTCCTCCTCCCATACAGGACCATACGCGAGTGGTCAGCCCCATCATTGACGTCATCAGCCTGGATAACTTTGCCTACTTGGCGGCCTCAGCTGACTTGAGAGGAGGTCAGGATACAACACACAAACTCATGCACAGTAACAGCTGACAACACACAGCTGCAGTCGAGGAAAAACCCTGTTTCAAAAACTCTTATGATGTAACGATCCCTGGCAGATTAATTCAGAACTCATGACAGAAATACCTAAATGGATAAAAGTCTCTCTGGAAGTTTGTGACACAGATTTTCTTCAAGAATTTGTTGCTATGATTGGAATGAAGAGGTTAAAAGGTGAAGTCAGATAAGCCAAAATCAGCAGGATACTTTTATGTCTTCTTGGCTGCTTTTTAGCCGATGTCTAGACGAAGAGGTTGTAAATTCTTACTTTTTTGTGTATTTTTTTGCTCTCTTTCTCTTAAGGGTTTGACTGGAGTCTCCACTTCAAATGGGAGCAGATTCCCATCGAGCAGAAAATGGCGAGAAGCGACCCCACACAGCCAATCAGGTGTGTCTAGAATGCTTGTCATCATCCCTCTTTCTTCCTGGTGTAAGGCCATAGCATTGATTCCAAACCTGAAAAAGTAATCATACATACATTATGTATACTATAATATATAACTTAAAAAAAAACAAAAGCAAAAACAAATTTGAATTTCTCCTAAGGGGGA